AGAGCGTGGCCGGGGTGCACTCCGGCGAGGTGATCTGCCGGGTGATGTCCGACTCGATGCGCAGCATCGGATAGAGAAAGGTGAGATTGCGGTCCTCGAGAATGTCCGCCATGCGCTCCTTGTTGCGGTCGTTCTCCGGCAGCATGCTGATCAGGCTGATCTTCGACTCGGTGAAGGCCTCAAAGAGCCACGGCTGGCCCTTCGCCTTGTGCAGGTTCTGCAGCAGCAACGGAAAGAGCGGGTAGTGCTGGCCGCCCTCCAGCAGGTCGCCCACCTCCTTTAGGCCAATCGCCCCCTCGATGATCAGCTGGGCGACAAAGCCGGCGACCAGAGAGCGGGCACGGGGCGTCTCCACCTCCAGCTCGACCACCTTGCAGAAGAGGTTCTTCAGGGCGGCCAGGAAGGCGGCGTCGGTGACTCCCTGAGGAGAGCCAGAGGAGCCACCTTCCTCGCCACCTGCTGCCGCTTCAGCTCCTTCACCTGGGCCTGCCTTCATCTTGATGATCAACTTGTAGGCCAGATCGCGCTCCGCCTCTGCCTTGCCAATGGCGATGCGAATGATGACGAGCAGCGTCTCGTCAAAGGCAATGTGAATCGTCTTCAGGCCGTTGATAAAGTCCTGCGAGTTTTCGCTCTTGAAGTACTCCGACAGCAGCTTCTCCACCTCGACGATGACATTGACGGGCTTGCTGGGCTCAGACGACGACGAGTCGCCGCCGTCACCATCTCCCGTCACCTTCAGCTGGCCCATCTCATTCACAAAGCTGTTCATGTCCTTGCCGTTCATGTTCTGGCGCATCATCGGATTGCCACCGCCAAACTTGCCGCCGCCGTTGCTGCTTCCCCCGCCGCCGTTACCAATGCCGCCGGCAAATGCATTGCTGGCAAAGTTGGCGGCCACCGGCTTCGGACCAAGCAGGCCCATCTTGTCGCCCTTGTAAATGCTCAGCGTTGGCTTGTTCACCTGCAAGCCTCCCGGACCGTTGGAGCCACGCAGTCCGTCAGGCATTGGCTGCAGCTCATTCTTCACAAATGGCTGAAAGGCGGGCACAGGGCCACCGCCGCCCATTCCTCCTCCTCCGCCCTGCTTCATCTGCTGCTTCTGAAAACGGGGCGGCAGGTTGATCATGTCGCGATTGGCATTCAGCTGGTTCAGTCCATTCGACAGCATGTTCACCGCATTCGGCGGCTGCTGGCTGTGGTTGCCGCTGTTTGGGGGACCGCCAGGGCCACCGCCAAGGCCAAGACCGCCACGATAGCCGTCGCGGTCACGGTCGCCGCGATCCATTCCACGAATCTCGCGTTCAATACGCTCGCGGTCACTTCCTCCACCACGACGGTCATCGCGGTCACCACCGCCGCCCATTCCAGGGCCTCCGCCGACTCCGCCGCCACGGCCTCCGTCACGTCGGTCGCGAGGCATTCCGCCGCCGTCTCGCTGGCCTTGGTAGTTGGGGAACTGCTTGTTGTTGTAGCCACCCCCACTTCCTCCCCCTCCGCCGCCTTGATTGTTGTAGTTGTTTTGGTAGTTGTTGTTGTTGCGACGACCGCCACCACCGCCGCCACCAGCCTGGTTACCGTAGCTGTTCATGTTCGGCAGGTGGTTCACGTCGTTGATCGCCCCCGGACCGGTGCCCAGGTAGTACGGGCCGAGGTTGATCTGCGAGAAGACGTCATCGTAGCGGGGCGATTTCTGGTTCATGTTCTGGCGAATGAAGGGAAACCCGTACTGGGAGAGTAATACTTCATTATCGCGGTAGTCATTCTTAGGATCAGAAATGGTGGAAGGAAGTGCCTCTTTCTGTCTCGGAATCCACTGTGAAAGTGTGATGAAGAAATATAGCGTTAGCAAAAATGACGTCAACAAAAGACAACGACCACCAGGACTTACATTATTCTTTCGAAGATCAATCACGTCAAGCAGCATAAAGCGAATGCGGGAGATAAGTTCAGGGTTCTTAGAAAACGACTCCATCCGTTCAAAGTACTGGTCGAGCAGGCCACGAGCTTCCTCTTTCTCCTCCAACAGGTACCCAATGTTCTTCATGATCTCGCATAGACACTCCAGGTCCTGTATCTTGTCCGCCAAGCTCTGGGTCTTCTTCTTGGAGAGCAGCTGCTTGATGCAGTCGTGGAGGATGTTTTGCGGGAGCAGCTGCTGCTTGCCAAGCTCGCAAACAAAGCGAATGTTGCCGAGCATCTTCTGCTTGGCAATGGATCGTTGCTCCTCATCGTCGGCGCTGAGTGGTTCGGTCCGGAATTCATACTTCTCAAATGCATCTCGCCGGTTTTCAAACTCGTCCCGGCACTTGGTCAGCAATATTAGCTTAAAGATCTAGTTTAGCAAATAAAGAGCATAAGTAAGTTGTTCATAAGACAGACAGAATGGTCTACACGTACATCTCGCTTCTTGGTGCCGGTGTTTTCGTCTTCGAAGTGTCGTGCCAAGCTATCGTAGATGACCTTGCATAATTTTGCGTACATAAAACTATACTTGGAATCGTCTAGAGCCTTGTTGAAGATTAGCAGAAGAACGCGTTTGAGGACATCTTGCGACTCGAGCCCAAGATCAAGCAGCTCTCGGCTCAACTTGTCGAATTTATCAGGAGTGATTTTGTTAAGAATGCTAATAAACATGAAGAGAAGAAAACTCAGGTAAGTGGTTGTTTTCGCACACACACACACACGCGGCTAAGCCTCAGGTACTTACCCTCGAACCTTGTAGTCAATGCTTCTATCGTATTGAGGGTTATTGTCATGTGCATCTCTTCTTATGTGGTTGCTCGGAGGATTCCATCTACGACTTGAGGGAGACAAGGAGCCACTGTTATGGCCATAGGACGTAGAATGAGGACGAGAGGGGTCGCCCTGTCCTCCCGAGCACCGAGAAGCAATAACCCCCTGTCCTCGCTGGTGGTCCGTCGTGTTAACTTGGTGGAAGAGGGAGAAGAGGCACGAAATCTGCTGGAAACGCGGGGACGCAGATAACCACACGGTGAATGATTTTCAGGACTGATGGGTAGAAAAGAAGGGGATGGTGGAGAGAGAAAGGGGGAGATGATGATAGTCTCTTCAAACAGACTGCGACGGCCGGGGACCAACGACTGGGCGCGGCTACTTCAGCTACTACAGGATCTGATGCTCTTCAGACGGGCGTCACGGGCGTCGTCGGTGAGACGGAGTGCTCGAAGTGCAAAGTGCGCTCGGGACCTCGAGGTGCACGGTGCCTGGGCGTGAGAAAGCGAGTGAGCGTGGCAGGGCAAGAGAGAGAAAGAGCAATCGTAGTAGTATCGGTGCAAAGTGGTGCAATGGCTGGCTTGCAGGAGACCTGTGAGTTGGGGAAACGACGACGACAGCCAGCGGTGGTGGTGATGATGGTGGTGGTGGTGGTGATGGTAGTGGACAGACAACGGATCCAGACAACGGCGGATGAATGATCGATGCCAGAGAGAGCGAGAGAGAAAGAGAAAGAGAAACTCAGTGAGCAGAAGAAGAGGCAGCAGAAAAGGGAGGAGCCATCCTCCATCGCCGATGTCGCCGCTGCTGCCGCCGCCGCCGCTGCCAGCGTCGCAGCACCGGCGCTCACGCCGACAGCGGGCGCTACCGGCAATTTTCTTCCTTTCTTTCTTTCGTTCTTTGCCCGCGTCGTCGTCGTTGTCAGGGGCATCGACCGACGCCGAACGACGTACCCTGCCGATGCTGCTGCTGCTACGAAGGCGAAGGCGCCCGAACTGCGCCGAGGCGCTGCTGATTCTTTTCAGTTTCCTCTCTCTCGCCACTAGCTGGAGTAGGAAGCTGCAGCCATTTTTGCCAGTTTACTTTTATTTCACTACTATGTACACAGGAAAGGACACAAGAGTGCGCACAACAGGTAGATTGGTAAGGTAAGGAAAGGTAAGGTAGGGAAGGAGGACAAATCACAGACAGGTAAGAGGCGAAGCAGAGAGTTGCCCTGTTGGCGCTACGCGCCGCCGTCAGTGACAAGACACTGTCCAGTGTTGCGTCCTACAGCCAACACACACACACAGGACAGAAAGAAACTTCGAGTGTCTTGCCAACCAGCAGACGCCGCCGCAGTGGTGACGATGATGATGATGATGATGATTCGGCAAAGCTTCTTCTCTTCAGGAGAAGATCTCGTTCACTTTGTGGAGTAGGTGTCTGCCAAAACAAAGCAAAGCAAACGCGTTAGAGTCACCATGGTGAGTGTAAACAAAGAAGAGTGACACTTACTTGGACGTGACCGGCTGTCCGTAGCTGTAGAAGGGATTGCTGGCCACCACCTCGACGTAGGTGTTGTGGATGGTGCGGAGGATGGCCCTCGCCTCGTTGTCCCTCACCATGGTGTTGTTCACCATCAGCAGGACCTTGGTCTGCGTCACCGAGCACAGGCCGTAGATCTTGTAGGTGTCGGACTGGGCGAGAACGCCCAGAAAGGGCTCCCGGGTGCTCTGCTTCTCGTCGACGACGTCCAGCGAGGCGTGCAGCTTGAAGAGCAGCCCCAGTGAGTCCTGGTCGCGGGTGCGCACCAGCACCGGCGTGTTGCTGTTGTTGATGATGGCCAGCGCAAGGACCGACATAGTGTTCTGGTATTAGGTCTCTGTCTTTGGTGTACTGTCTATTGTGGTGGTGGTGGTACTTTTTGAGTACTCTTCTTTCTGCTGCTTCTGATCGGTAGCATCAGCAGCGCAGGTGCAGACGCCACGGCTGGTCTGGCCATCAGCAGCAGGAGCATAGCTATCCACCAGACTGCGCCACCGGGTGAGTACTTTGCTGGAAAAGTAGGCGTTCAAAGGCAGCTGCCAACACTGTCCACTCTTGGCTGTGCAGTAAGTGCTCTGTCTGGCAGCCTCTCTGAGTCTGTCTCACTACTCTCCAGCAGTCGTACCAGTGCCCTGCTTCATCTCTCTCTCTCCCTGTCTTCACAGCTTCATCCTTGAACCACCCTCTCTTCCTCGTCCCGTTCACCCTAGACCCACATCACCACCACCACCAAGATCATGGTTGTCAACGAGTGGCTGAACCCGAATGCGGCGAACAAGACGCACGCGATGGCCGTCACCCGGGACTACATCTCCCAGCCGCGACTCACCTACAAGACGGTGACGGGCGTCAACGGGCCGCTGGTCATTCTCGACGACGTCAAGTTCCCCAAGTACGCAGAGATCGTCAAGCTGACGCTCAACGACGGCACCCAGCGCACCGGCCAGGTCCTCGAGGTGAGCGGCAACAAGGCCATCATCCAGGTCTTCGAGGGCACCTCGGGCATCGACGCCAAGCACACCATTTGCGAGTTTACGGGTACGTGTTGTGTCTGTGTATAACTTCTGTTTCATGACAATAATTTTCTTCTTTGCACAGGCGACATTCTGCGAACGCCCGTCTCTGAGGACATGCTCGGTCGAGTGTTCAACGGCTCCGGCAAGCCCATCGACAACGGCCCTCCGGTGCTCGCCGAGGACTACCTGGACATTCAAGGTCAGCCGATCAACCCCGAGTCACGAACCTACCCCGAGGAGATGATCCAAACGGGCATCTCCGCCATCGACGTGATGAACTCCATTGCCCGTGGCCAGAAGATTCCCATCTTCTCAGCGGCTGGTCTGCCGCACAATGAGATCGCCGCGCAGATCTGTCGTCAGGGCAGTCTGGTGAAGTTAGAGGGCAAGGGCCCGATTGACGACAACTTCGCCATCGTCTTCGCCGCCATGGGTGTCAACATGGAGACGGCCCGCTTCTTTAAGCAGGACTTTGAGGAGAACGGCTCGATGGAGAACGTGTGCCTCTTCCTCAATCTGGCCAACGACCCCACCATTGAGCGCATCATCACGCCCCGTCTGGCGCTGACCACCGCCGAGTACCTCGCCTACCAGTGCGAGAAGCACGTCCTGGTCATCCTCACTGACATGTCCTCTTACGCCGAGGCCTTGCGAGAGGTAGGAGATGGTCACTTTGGTTTCTAAAAGGTCAACTTGCTAACTTTTCTCTGTTCCATTCAGGTTTCCGCCGCCCGAGAGGAGGTGCCCGGCCGTCGAGGTTTCCCCGGCTACATGTACACTGATTTGGCGACTATCTACGAGCGCGCCGGTCGAGTGGAGGGCCGCACCGGGTCGATCACGCAGATTCCCATTCTGACGATGCCCAACGACGACATCACCCACCCGATTCCCGATCTGACGGGCTACATTACCGAGGGCCAGGTGTACATTGACCGACAGCTGAGCAACCGACAGATCTACCCGCCCATCAACGTCCTGCCCTCGCTCAGTCGTCTGATGAAGTCGGCCATCGGCGAGGGCATGACCCGCAAGGATCACGCCGACGTGTCCAACCAGCTGTACGCCTGCTACGCCATCGGCAAGGACGTCCAGGCGATGAAGGCCGTCGTCGGTGAGGAGGCACTCACCGCTGAGGATCTGCTCTACCTTGAGTTCCTCAACAAATTCGAGAAGACCTTTATCACTCAGGTACACTAGGCGATTCTAAATGGCAACACTATTTGGCTAACACTTGTTTACACTCACTTTTCAGGGCAACTACGAGAACCGAACGGTCTTTGAGTCGCTGGACATTGGCTGGAAGCTGCTGCGAATCTTCCCCAAGGAGATGCTGAAGCGAATTCCCGCCGACACGCTGGCGGAGTTCTACCCGCGCCAGGGCGGAGCTAGCTCCAGTGCCGCCGCTGCTGCTGCTGCCAAGAACTAGGCGTGGAAACCATAATCCACCTTTTCTCCCTCCCAGTGTTGCTCTGTCAAGCCAAGAAGATACATTCTTTCTCTTTCTCTATTGCATTGTTGTTACCAGCCCGTTGTTGTGTTATTATTTTATTCCCTCCTCCTCTTCTTTCTTCATTCTTTCTTCTTTCTCTCTTCACCCGGATCTACTAGGAACAACCACACGCTCTCGCTCTACCCGAAAAAAAGTTTATCACTCTGTGTGTGTCTAGTCCAGAAAAACGAAACTGTCTTGCTCTTACTCTTTCTCTCTATCTTTCTCTTCATGCATTCACTACACTCGCTCACAGTCATTCCAGTCCAGATGATGATGGTGTTGTTGTTGCACTGTGTAACACATCCCCTTTTTTTCTTTCTTTTCCCCCTTTTCTTCTCTTATCATCGTGTGCATTCATTATCGTTTGCAGTTGTCTCCTATTTTATTCGTGCTCTTTTTGTTGTTTGTCGACTAACACAGTGTAGTTGATGATGATGATGTTTGTAAAAAATAGCACTGGATTAATAAGAATTGAAATTATAAGAACTGTACATCAGGCGCAGTGTTTTCGGGAGTGCTTTTTTTGTCAGGGGAGCTCTCCAACTCACTCTTGTAATTTGATAACTTAAAATTTATTAAAACTGCGTCGTTCGCGCCTAAAACAACACTCGTTTCCCTTCTTAAATTAAACTTTTCATTAAGGATCAAATGGCGGAGATCAAAAGTCGCTCAACACAAGGTGGATGAAGAACGAGAAAGAGAGAAGTCATCNTGTAATTTGATAACTTAAAATTTATTAAAACTGCGTCGTTCGCGCCTAAAACAACACTCGTTTCCCTTCTTAAATTAAACTTTTCATTAAGGATCAAATGGCGGAGATCAAAAGTCGCTCAACACAAGGTGGATGAAGAACGAGAAAGAGAGAAGTCATCGGTGTGTTGTCAAGAGTGTTGTCAAGTGTGTATGTGTGTGTAAGTGTGTGTGTGTGAAGAGAGGAGTTTGCGTTGTTTGTTCAGTATCACAGTGTTCGGGAAAAGTTGTATTGGGTGTAGTAAGAAGAAAAGTAATGTTTGTAGAATAGCAGTAAAAACAAGATTCGGTACGGGGAGAGGTGAGACAGAGAGGGTGAGAAGGAGGTGAAAGAATATTCGAAAGAATAGAGAGAAACGAAGAGGCGATCGGTGAAGGTGCACGGCACACAGTGCCGGGGGTGATGATGTTCCGCCCTTCCGCTCAGGCGTAGTACATGGGTGTTGTTGTAATAAATAACAATTGTGACTGATAGGAGAGAAAGAGGGGAGGTTGGGGAGGGTTATTCAGAATCGGAAGACGAAGTAGAGCCAGCCTTGTCGATTAACAGTTTATCATATTGTTTTAAGGAATCGTCGATGTCTTCCGCATCGTGACTGCAGAGGTGATTGTCGGCGTAGCCCAGTGGCTTCGGCTTGCGAAACTCGTACACCAGCGGGTAGATGTGTTCGACCGCCAACTGAACGTTCTGTACACTGGGGGCGGTGATGGTGATCGAACCCGTTTGAAAGATCTTCAGTACGGCTTTGAGCTCCTTCATTCGGTACGTCGCTCCGGGGTGAAGCTCAGGTTCGTAGCTGTTTGTGCAAAGTGAATTCAGTTTCAGTTTCTAAATTCTACTTGACTTGTAATCACTTACCTGGCTACTTGTCTGTGTGCAGTGCTGAACTCGCCAATCTTGATACCGAATGGCATTCGGCACGTGCCGAGGACGTTCACCACGCGGTAACTGCTGAACTTGACTCGGAAGCCCATCCTCTGGAGAACTCGGGCCACGCGGCGTGAGGCACTTTTGGCTTGCTCTTCGGATGAAGCACCCGTGCATACGATCTTACCCGAGGACCATATGCTGGCCGTCACTTGAGGTGTTCGTAACTTCATCAGGATAATCTACAGTTTACAACAAAAACAAAACGCGTTAGTGGAACAGCAAATCAGGAACCCGGACACGGCACCACCCCCAGCATTCTCATCACATCGGAATATTCGAGAGAATGGAACAACAAGCAAAAATAGATTAAAACACCGAGCATCGTCACACACACACACACCACTCACCGACTGCTCTCGCTGGTAGACAACATTTGAACCGTTTGTGGCTATTGTCCTCAGGTTCAGGTGACAGCGGACGCTGAAGTGGGAGACGACATTGCTAATGGTAATATCCACCGAATCCTCGGGACTTTGTGACTCATCTGGTGGCGTGCCAGCCATTTGGGCCCAAGGAAGTGAAGCGGAGTGGGCTTTGGTGTGGCGAAGGCGATTCTGGTGTGTGCAATGTTTCACCAGCAGAGAGCGAGGCAGACGGGAGAAGAAGGGAAAGAAGCAGCAAGCAAGCAGGCAGGCAAGCGAGAAGAAGCACTTTACAGAAGAGCCGATCGTACGTTCTCTACGGCAGGCATATTTCTGCATCAGCTTACAAGTTAGAGCCTTCGGAGCTGAGTGGCAAAAGGCGTCATGAAGCACGTTCACAGTGCTGCAGGGGGCAGCACTGCCGCTGCCGTCGGCACTGAATCAGGCAGCCTTTGCCCACTCCGTTCTGCGAACTCTACTCGCGCAACTGCAGTCGCTGCTCCGCTGCTGCTGCTCTGCTGCTCACACACAGCCAAAGCTTTGAGTCGCTCACTCTCTTGCCTCTCGCTCTCTCGCTCTCTCTCACTCGCTCGAGTCTTCTGCCATCCTTCGCATTCTCCTAAACATGGCGAACGCTGGTTCCACTGAACATTGAAGGTATCCCAGCCAGTCGGAGACGATACCGCCACTTGCTCCTCTCGGCGTCTCCACCTTCACCGCCGCCCACACGCCCATCCGACGCCTCGGCCACCTCGTCGCGGCCCGGCCAGCTCACCCAGCGGCCAGCGCTCGTGGCCTCCTGCACCGTTGGTCCTTTGTCATCATCAGCACCAGCAGCGGTGTTGGTGGTGGTAGTTGGCCAGCACCAGTCAACAGTGCACTCCTGCACTCCACACACACACACACTCAGACTGCACTCTCGCCGAACCGATGATCTTTTTCATCATCACTCAGCCTCTATTTCTCCCTCTCTGCTCCCCTGCTCTCTTTCAACTCGCTCTCCTGTTGTTTGTGTTCTGTCGCCAATGTTTTTATTCTTTCGTCAACAGCACTACCCTCTCAGTCTGTCACCTGCCTCCTTCACGACGTTCTTCCTCCTCCTCGTCTTCTGTACATAGATACACACACCTTAGCACCAGCATCAAACTGTGCATCTAATGTAAGTTGAGCGTTGCTGCACCAGCGCACCTGATCAGTAGCCGAACGCCGATCCCCCACACACAAGCGAGCGGGAGCCTTACACTCTTTTCCCTCCACTTTTGCAGCCTCGTGTTTGAGCATCCAGCATCCATGATGTGAGAGCCCAAGTTTTAATGCGCCCTTTTCAACTCTTTCCACGCTCTATGGACATTTTGCAATTGTTTACTTGAATATATTTGTTATTATCTTGCCGCACCGTTTGCAAGATAAGCCCCCCACTACATGACGCTCCAAAATGGGTGACTACCTGAACAGCAGCGGGCCGTCGGTGTCCTCGACCAACGCCGCCAACTCCTCCTACATGCTAGGAAGCGGTTCAGTCAACATGAACCACGATCCGCCTAGCAAGAGGCTAAAGACTAGCGACTCGACCGACTCGATGATCAGCAGCTTCTACAGCGTCTTACCTGAAGAACTGTCCTCCAACAACTTGGACAACAGTGTCATCAACAGTGTGAATATCACGAATTCTTCAAACATGACTGCCACTTCGAACATCAATTCATCGCAGACGTCGTCAATCGTCGGTCACCAGCCTAATTTGACTCATCTTTTAACAAAACCACCCAATAACTCAACTCAACCAAATCAAATACCGCGGTCGATGCTTTCGAATGCCAACTCAAACATGTCGCTCCAGCAGCAACTTAGTATGCCTTCTCAGCCACGCAATCCTCAACAACAACATCGGTTCTCCAATCAGAATGCACCCCAAGTTCAAATTTCAATGCAGCAATCACAACATCAACAGCAGCTGTTTCAGCAGCAACAACAACAGCAGCAACAGCAGAACTTTCAGAACAACCAAATGGCTCAGCAACGAATGGCATCTCAGGGGCAACCAATGCAGCAGCAGCAACAACAGCAGCAGCAGGCGCAGTTTCGATACATGGCACCCAGCTCGAACCACATTCAGAATCAGTCCACCATCAGTATTTCTCAAATGCCAGGACCTGGATCTCAGAATCAGATGAACGCCGCTGGCTTTCCTTCCGCTGGTCCTGCTGGCTCTGCTGGACAGCCCGTCAATCAGAGCCGACTCGGCGAGCAGCAGCAGGTGAATCACGCGAACAACAATAACAACAATGCCAACACGCTAATAATAAACAACACCGACAATGAGAAACGGAAACTGATTCAGCAGCAGCTCGTCCTGCTACTGCACGCCCACAAGTGTCAGCGACGAGAGCAGCAACAGCGACAGAATGGCACCGAGCCGATCAAGCCCTGCGCCCTTCCTCACTGTCCCACCATGAAACAAGTTCTTGCTCACATGGCCACCTGTCAATCGGGTATGTCTCTCTGTTTTGGCGCGGAGAAAGGCTTGTACAAAAAAACAAAAAACTAAACCCCTTTTTATCTGATCCCTCTTTACAGGTAAAAATTGCAATATTCCCCACTGTTCCAGTTCACGGCAGATCATCAACCACTGGAAGAACTGCCCTAGGACCGACTGTCCAGTGTGTCTTCCACTGAAGCAAGCGAATGATCGCAAGCCCCAGCAGCAACTAACATCTCAGGTACTGTTTTTCACCCTTTTTTCATTTTGGCGCGCGCAGTCATTCATTTCTTTATTTGTATTTTTCTCTCTATTATTCTTCTTCTTTGCACACTGTGGCCACTCGCGCGTACAGGCAATGCCAAATAATAACTCAAATTCAACCCTAAACTCGATCAACTCTGTGCAGGCAATGGGTGGAGTGAACTCCTCCAACCTGCTGATGAATGCCACTTCGATGCAGGCGCCCTCGCAGGCACCACCCACCGCCCAACAGCAGCAGCATCAACAGCAGCAGCAGCAGCAGCAGTCGCAACAGCAGCAATCGCAGTCGCAGATTCAAAGCGACGACATGCAGAAGGCGTACCAGGCACTGGGTCTTCCCTACAACAGCAATGCCTCCAGCTTCATGCAGAGCCAGCAGTCAAACATGAACGTCAACTCGCAGTTTCCGCAGGTGCACAACCAGTCCAAGGACTGGCACAATGTGGTCAACTCTGACCTGCGACAGCACCTGGTACAGAAGATAGTGCAGGCGATCTTTCCCAACTCCGACCAGAACCTGCCGCCGCAGGACAAGCGGCTCACCAATCTGTTCACCTACGCGCGCAAGGTCGAGTCGGACATGTACGACAAGGCGAACTCGCGGGAGGAGTACTACCACCTGCTGGCGGAGAAGATCTACCGCATTCGAAAGGAGCTAGAGGAGAAGCGCCAGCGGCGGCGGGATCAGCAGTTTCAGCAGCAGCAGCCGCCACCGCCTCCACAGCAGCAGCAGCAGCCGCCTCAGCAGCCGCAGCTGCCCGGCTTTCCCGCCGGAGTCGGCGCCAACAATGGCGGCGGCCCTAATCAGATGAACAGTAGCAGTAATAATCTGGTGAACGCCCCGCTGACGAACAACATTGGCATGGCGCAGAATGCGCCCCGACTGAGCAGCATGGTCGCCCCGCCCAACGTGACACTGTCGCCGCAGAACTTTAACAATCAAAATCAGCAGCCGCCGCAACTTACTTCCCAAATGCCGAAGCAGCAGCAGCCAACTCAGCAGCAACAGCAGTCTCACTTTTTCCTCGCCAACAATGGCATGAACATGCCGAACAACGGCGGCCAGGTTCAGGTGTCACAGTCGAATCACTCGCAGATGAACCAGCAGCAGCAGCAGCCCATCTCCGTGACCAACTTCAGGCCGACTAGCACTGTTTCTAGTATGAACTTTAACAATTCAACACTAAACTCCTCCAACCCAATGCTGAACAGCATGATGCAATCTACGCCTCAGCAGCCCAATACTCCCCAGGCTTCCTCCACGCCCCCACCACGCTCACAATCGGTACTGTCCAATGCTTCGGCCGCGTCAGGTTCAAACATGTCAGTTTATCAGCAACAGCAGCAGCAGCCGCCTCAGCCATCGCAGCAGCAGCAGCAGCCTAACATGCCCTTGACTAATGCATCAGATGGCCCGATAAACATCAAGGCGGAGTTTGAGTCTGACTCGGTGTCATCGTGCAATTCAGCCTTTCCCCCCGCTGGCTCTGAGGCCGCTGCCTCGAACAATCTTCATAACCAGCCGGAGAACGGCGCCGGAGACAAGCTCTCTGCGCAGCTCAATTCAAACTGCTCTACTACAAGTGAGATGAAACCGGACGTTGGCGGGTTGATTTCAAAGTCTGACCCGTTCGCCGACGAGAAAAAGCCAAAGTTGGACAGTACCAGTTCGCCTGCTTTTAAATCCGAAACGGCCTTCAAGTCAGAGAGCGGTTTCAAGTCGGAAGCGCCCTTCAAATCAGAGGCGNCCGGACGTTGGCGGGTTGATTTCAAAGTCTGACCCGTTCGCCGACGAGAAGAAGCCAAAGTTGGACAGTACCAGTTCGCCTGCTTTTAAATCCGAAACGGCCTTCAAGTCAGAGAGTGGTTTCAAGTCGGAAGCGCCCTTCAAATCAGAGGCGGCTTTCAAATCGGAGAGTGGCTTCAAGTCGGAGAGCAAGACTGAGTTTAAGTCTGAAACGTCCAACGGTGCCACGCCACCACCTCCATCTTCAACTACGGGCGTCGCCGTGAAGTCTCCCAAGTCTCCCGACTCGAAGGATCAAAGCGCAATGGAGATGGACTCGTCGAGCAGCAGCACCGCCGTGGCGACCGTCTCCAAGACCTCGCCATCTTCCTCCTCCTCCTCCGGCGCCAGTGGCCCCTCGAAGAAGAAGGTCTTCAAGCCGGACGAACTTCGACAGGCCTTGATGCCGACGCTGGAGAAGCTGTACAAGCAGGACCCCGAGTCGTTGCCCTTTCGCCAGCCAGTGGACCCGACTGCGCTGCAGATTCCCGACTACTTTGAGATCATCAAGAAGCCGATGGACCTGTCGTCGATCAAGAAGAAGCTCGACACTGGGCAGTACATCGACCCCTGGCAGTACGTGGACGACGTCTGGCTGATGTTCGACAATGCCTGGCTGTACAACAGGAAAACTTCGCGCGTCTATCGTTACTGCTCAAAGGTATGTGTGCACTTTGTGTGCTCATTGCTAGTCTACCTTTCCTTACACTTAAACAACAACGTTCCTCTTCCCTTTCTCTTCTCTAGCTCGCGGAAGTGTTTGAACAAGAAATCGATCCAGTCATGCAGAGCCTGGGCTACTGCTGCGGACGGAAGTACGTCTTTCAGCCTCAAATTCTGTGCTGCTATGGAAAGCAGTTGTGTACCATTCCTCGTGATGCCAAGTACATGAATTACCAGAATAGGTATGTGAATAATGGCTTTGATTTGTTGGAGCCTCTCTAACCTTTAAATGCCTCTCCCAGGTACACCTACTGTATGAAGTGCTTTTCCGATATTCCCGGTGAAATGGTAACGGTGGGCGATGCCTTGGGCTTTGAAGCCACCTCCACCGTGCAGACCATTGCGAAGAGCAAGTTTATCGAGGCGAAGAACGACCACCTTGATTTGGAGCCCTTTCTCCAGTGCAAAGAGTGCGACCGCAAGCTGCATCAAATCTGTGTCCTTCACATGGATCAGATTTGGCCAGAAGGGTATGTGTGATGATTTGAAGCGACACTGTGTATGGTTCTTCTTTGAGCTTGATTTAATATATTTTTGTTATGTTACCGCTTGTACGTAGTTTCACATGTGATGGCTGCTTACGACGGGAAGGCAGGCGGCGGAAGGAGAACAAGTACGGTGCCAAGCGGCTACCCACCACCAAGCTGGGCACGTACATTGAGGGCCGTGTTAATGGGTTCCTGCGCCGGAAGGAAACCGGTGCTGGCGAGGTCTTTATTCGCGTCGTCTCCAGCTCGGATAAGATTGTCGAAGTGAAGCCCGGCATGAAAGCGCGGTAAGATTTGGGCAGCGTCACTTTGGTGACGTTTAATGCTGTTTTTTCTAATAAAACGATTTATTCTCTAAATCACAGGTACGGCAACTTGCCCAATTGGGTGGACTCGTTTCCGTATCGAGCGAAGGCCCTCTTTGCCTTTGAAGTCATTGACGGCACTGATGTGTGCTTCTTTGGCATGCACGTGCAGGAGTATGGCTCAGAGTGTTCTCCGCCAAACACGAGGTAAGTGGCGTTTGGGGTGGTGGTGCTTGTCAACACACCGGAAGTACACTTCTCTTTACTAAAAACATTTTTTCACTTTAGACGAGTGTACTTGGCGTACCTCGATTCAGTGTACTTTTTCCGTCCAAAGCAATACCGAACTGCGGTGTACCATGAGATCCTTCTGGGGTACCTTGACTACGCCAAGCAGCTCGGCTACACCATGGCGCACATTTGGGCCTGTCCACCCTCTGAAGGTAAGTGCTGCATAAACTCAAAACATCAGCAATTAACCTTTTTGAACTTTTTTCATTCACCAGGCGATGATTACATTTTCCACTGTCATCCGGTGGAGCAGAAAATTCCCAAGCCGAAGAGGTTACAGGAGTGGTACAAGAAGATGCTGGACAAGGGAATGGTCGAGAGGGTCGTCCTGGACTACAAGGACATCTTGAAGCAGGCGAATGAGGACAATCTGAAGATTGCCTCTGAGCTGCCCTACTTTGAGGGTGACTTTTGGCCGAATGTGCTGGAGGAGTCGATAAAGGAGATTGAAATGGAGCAGCAAAAACAACAGCAGCAGCTCGACACGATCAAATCAGAGCCGGGCACCTCGTCACAGAACGGCGAAGAGGAATCCTCTATCGGTAAGGGTGTTGTTTGTTGTGGCTCACTTTTTCTATTTAGAATGATCTCATGTTTCATTTTTTGCCTTTGTTACAGTTGAGCTGCTGGAAAGCACCGACTCGAAGGACGGTGATATAGGCAAGAACACCAAGGACGGCTCGAAGCAGCACAAGAAGAACAGCGCCAATAAAAAGTCCAACAAGAAGCAGAATAACCGCAAGAACAATGTGCACTCTCGAATTAAAGGAGGCCCGCTGGTTAGCCAGCCGCAATCACAGGTAGCTATTCTAAAGTTTCTACAAAACTGATTTAATTAACCACTTTTTTCTCCCTTAAAAGTTGACTCCACTGCAGCAATTTGACACTGAACTTACGCAAAAGATATTCAGCACCATGGAGAAGCACAAGGAGGTGTTCTTCGTGGTGCGCCTTCACTCGAGTCAATCCGCCGCCAGTCTGCCGCCGGTCAGCGACCCTGATACCTTGATTAATTGTGATCTCATGGACGGTCGTGATGCCTTCCTCACCCTTGCCCGTGATAAGCATTACGAATTCTCTAGCCTGCGGAGGACCAAGTTCTCCAGCCTGGCGATGCTCTACGAGTTGCACAACAGCAGCAACGACCGCTTCCTCTACACGTGCAATAACTGCAAGCGGCAGCTGATCGACTCGCGCTACCACTGCTCCACCTGTGATGACTTTGATCTCTGCGTCAGCTGCTACCAGCGCGACAGTCACAACCACCCCATGGACCGGGTCGACTTTGGCGAGCTCGGTCTGGGCAGCATGGGCGGCGACGAGAGCGTCTCCGTCGCCGGCTCGCTGGTGGCCGGCGGCGAGGGACAGGAGGGCGGCGAGGCGGGCGCTCCGGGCAGTCTGGCGACCTCGCCCAGCGAGACGCGCCGCCTGTCGATTCAGCGGTGCATCCAGAACCTCTACCACGCCTGTCAGTGCCGCGACGCCAACTGCCGGCGCATGTCTTGCCTGAAGATGAAGCGCGTGGTGCAGCACGCCAAGGCCTGCAAGCGGCGCAGCGCCATGGGCGGCGGCAACGCCCAGGGCCACTCGCACTGTCCCATCTGCAAGCAGCTCATTGCCCTGTGCTGCTACCACGCGAAGCACTGCGAGGAGACGAAGTGCCCGGTGCCGTACTGCATGAACATCAAGCAGAAGCTCAGTCACCAGCGGCTGCAGCACCGCATTGCCCAGCAGGCGCTGGTCAACCGGCGCATGGCGTCGATGCTGCTGGCGTCGCAGGCGAACTCGCAGAGCAACTCCTCCTCCAGCGCGCAGGCGAGCAGCAGCAGCGGCGCCATGTCCACGCCCTTCAGTCCTCAGCAGGTATGTGATCCTCTTGTCTTTTCCAAATCAATTGCATTATTTTGACCATCACTACTTTCTCCTCTTTCTGTCACAGTCGCAGCCGTACATGAAGCCAGCCGCGGCGACGCCTCCGCCGGCCGGCGCCCTGCAGGCTGCCGCCCAGGTGCAAGCGGTGGCCCGTCAGCAGCAGAACGCCCAGATGAACAACCACTCTATGAATGTGAATCCGTATGGAAAGGGCGGCAAGCCGATGCACCACTTTACCTCACAGTCACAGCAGCCGCAGCCTAAGCCGCCGATGCACACCGGCAAACCGATGAACATTCAGCCCCAGCCGCCGCAAAGAATGATGGGCGGCATGGACCATGCTCCAGGCGGAGGAGGACCAGGTGGTGGAGGTGGAGGAGGTATTGGAAAGCAACACCCCCAACAGCAGCAGCAGTCCCAACCGCAGCAACAACAGCAGTGGTACAACTCATCTCAACAGCAGCAGCCTATGCAGCAGCAGCAGCAGATGTCTGTACAGCAACAGCAGCAGGCCCGTTTCCAGCGACCTCAGATGGCTGGACAGCAACCGGTGCAGCAGATGATGCAGCAACAGCAGCAGCAGCAGATGCTGGCCCAGATTCAGCAGCAGGCGCAGCAGCAACAAGGCGGCGGCCCAATGGTGCCGCAGGCGAATCAGATGCAACAGCAACAACAACAGATGGGCATGTCCCAGCAGCCGCAGCAACAAGTATGTACCAGTATTTTGGCTAGAAAAGTTAGGAAAGTGAAGAAGGTTAAGAAGGTTGCCGTGAAGGCGTAGTTGTTGTAGTATATCTCAGTTGCATGCATGCGTTTTCACACGAATCTACACCTCAAGAATCAAGTTTCAAGGGTAATATTTGGTCATGTTTTTGGAAGAGTTTTTTGCCTCATACATCTTTTGCTTCATCTATAGAGTGTTGTAAAGAGCCCAACTATAATCATCATATTTTTAGAGTATCACATAATATTTTTTATTCACCCGTATCTCATCACTCCACTGTTTAATATTATTCAGAAAACTGTCAATATACCTGTGTAGTGTCCAGTTTCTAAATTGTTCCTCTCTCTTTTTATTCCAATCTCCTCCTCGTCCTAAAACTTTAGCTGCCAAACGTGAATCAAGCAGGCGGAAACAGCTCGGGCGGCGTGCCGAATTCCGCTAACAATATGACCCTGCAGCAGCTGCTGGCCACCTTGAAGAACAACCCCAATCCACAGGCGCAGCAGCACGTGCTCGCCATGCTGAAGACCAATCCCGCCCTGATGGCGGCCTTTATCAAGCAGCGCAATTTGCAGCAGGCACAACAAGCCCAGCTGGCGGCCTCTCAAGGACAGGGGGGACCGGGGGCACGTCAGCTGCAGCAGCAGCAGAATGCGCAGATGAACAACCATGCGATGGGCGGTGGGAGCGGAGGCGGCGGAGGTGGTGGTGTGAATCCCTACGGAAAGGGCGGCAAGCCGTCGCACCACTTTTCCCAGCAGCAGTCCCAGCAGCAACCAAAGCCAATCATGCACTCAGGAAAGCCGATGCAAATTCAACAGCAATCTCAGCAGCGAATGATGGGCTCTGATCATGCACCTGGTAGGAGTTAGCAGTTTTGAAGCACTTTGAAAGACACTCAATTAATCCTTTTTCATTTTACCTTGTTTACAGTTGTCGAGATGTACTCACAGCAACAGCCGCAACAACAACAGCAACAGCAACAGTGGTTCAACTCACAGCAGCAGATGAACCCCGGGCAACAGGTTCGATTTCAGAGGCCACAGATGGCCGGTCAGCAGGGCCAGCAGATGATGCAGCAGCAACAACAACAACAGATGCTCTCTCAGATGCAACAGTCACAACAGCAGCAGCAGCAGCAGGCGCAACAAGGCAATATGTCACAATATTCATCCCATTCGCCACCTTTCAGCTCACTTCCGCCTCACCAGTAGGGGGAAGTGAGCTGCCAGTGCTGATCATCAACATCCCCATCCCCATCACATCCATCACCATACTATCTCATTTCTTTCCTCCTTTTCTTTCGTCATTACTGTACAAATCACCTCAATCGGATCACTCTTTTCATCTTCATTTCGGTACCACCCACCATCGAATTTACCGTTTGTACTCTTTTCCCTTTCTTTCGTCGTATATTACAATATTTTACTCACTATTTATTTCTTTCACTACTTGACACTACTATACAACTCTTTTTCGCTTACTATTCTACTGCATTATATAAGACAATTTTCATCGTAACTGCCGACATAAACTTCCTTTTCTCTTTCACCTTTCTCTCTCTCTTCCATTTTCCATCCTTCCCATCATTTTCTCTTCTTCCTCCTCATTCTTGGGCATTACCATTTTATCGCTATTCATATAGTTTTTTTGTTTGTTATGCTGAAATAATATATTATGATGACTATTTAACCTTTATTTATTATCACCTTCTGTACAAAACCTCAAACACACTCACACACTCTGATACACACACACCTCACACCACAAACCTCATCCCTTGATGCATTATATACAAACGATGATCGTCACCCCTTTCTTTACACAAACTGTTTCGCAACTGTCTTCTCTCTTTTGTAAACGCTTTAATTAATGATGATGATGATATATTATAATATTTCAATTTCAAATACAAATAAAGCCTTATATTACCTACGGAAACGACACATAAGTAGTAAAAAGAAGAAGAAGAAGAAGAAGAAGGTGTGTACATAAGTAAAAAGTTAAACAAGTAAATATAATAATTAAATATAAAAACAGTTGTGTGAACATCTGAGTCCTCTGGACACACTAGGAGAAGGAGGAGCTATTGCGATGATTGGCAGCTCAGATCAGATCAGGTAAGAAAAGAAGTGCACTTGTGACCTCGAAGGAGTAGCGAAGCACTGGAGCAGTGTATGGGTGTGTCAGACCGGCAACACCTCCGGCCGGTTGATCTGTTTTTGGACAATGTAGAACTTGTGCTTCTTGCTGAAGATGCCCCAGATGACGGCGGTAATTTCAATGATCACATTGAAGGGAATGGTGAAGAGGGCGCCCGCAATGAGAAAGGCGTACCGCTTCAGCCCTATCTGCCGGACGGTGAAGGACTTGAAGACGCCGAAGATGTACATGTAGAAGGAGGCGGCGGCGATGAAGGTCGACCAGAAGTTGCACCAGTAGGAGGGCGGCAGCGGGTAGACGCTGGCGAAGACTAGATTGAAGATGGTCAGCGGCATGGTCAGCCAGGCGTACAGGGACAGGCTGAGGAGGAACTTCACCGGCAGGGGAATGTGCCGCGAGTGCACCACCAGGTAGATGCCCTGCACCCAGCGCTTCCGTTGCTGCAGAAAGTCCGCCAGCGTGAAGGGCGACTTCTCCCACATTTCGCCCTCGATGAAGTTGAAGCTGTAGCCCTTGCTGAAGGCGACCATGGCAAAGTAGCAGTCCTCGGCCACCGACCCGTCGAGGCCATTGTCGAAGCTGACGTCCCGCTCCGCCTGAAACTTGGTCACCACGAAGGATCCTGGAAAAGAAAGTATGATTGATTAGCATTGGGGTTACATAAAATGTTTTATTGGCCTACCTTTCCAGCTAAAGAGTGGCTTGTGAAAGAGGTAAAACTGACACCGCAGCTTGCCCATGTCTTCGGCGACGCGGAAGGTGTCCGCCAGAGTGGTCCACCAGTTGACCACCTCCTCATTGGCGTAGGTAATTAGCCCCTGGCCAAACTGGTGCCTGCCATCGCTCACAAAGTTCATTATGCCGTTGATTGACCTGCAGGTGAGAAGGGTCTCCTCATCGAGGTGGACGACCCAGTCGTTGTCACCTAGTATGTTGACATCAGCCTCTAAGCAATACTGTAAAGCTCTGGCCTGTGATGAGGAAAAAACAAATGTAAACATTGAGTATTGCGCCAGCATAGCAATAAAAAGCGAGTGTGTTGCATACCTTAAATAGAGTGCCAGATTTTGTCTTATAGTTGGGCGGGACCACTATAAGTCTGATGCGAGAATCTTTGGGAATATCAAATGGCTTGTCGGTGACAACTTCAAAGAGAAAGTTCTGCAGCCCAGCGTCGATGCAGGTGGCAATGTTCCGCGTCACATTTCGGCGTATCAAGTCGGGAAAGTCGCCTCTGGTCACCGTCCGTATGCAGATGAACGGCGTCACCAGCGTCTCCTTGGAGTCGTCCCTCCTGCTGACCGGTTCTTCGGGGAAGGCGTTGAAGAGCACCAGGCCGAAGAAGTTGCAAAGAAACTGCGGCAGTGAGAGCAGCGTCAGCAGACGGAGGAGGTAGAGGAACCAGGCGAAGGCGTAGCCGTAGCTGACAAACGGGTCAAACTGGCCGGCGTCATCGTCGGTGTAGTAGAGCTTAATGCCGCCGCTTTGCAGCTCGAAGAAGAGTATGGTCCCGAGGAGGAGGCAACAGTGCAGGGCGTGCTTCTGGCCGGAGCTGAGCTCGAACATCGTCGAAACAGCAGCTGGGGCAGCAGAGGCAACACTTGAAGAGGGGCGAAAAAGAGAGCAGTGGTGTGCGGTGGCCTGGCTGCCTGCTGCTGCTGCGATCACCCAGTGATCATCACATCATCAGAGCTATTTGCTGTTCATCACTTGGCTGGTGCTTGTCATGTGGTGGTGATGGTAGGCTTCAAATTGGTGTTGCACTGGTGATGATGATGGTGATGATTCAGGTTACGCGCCGAAGGCTCGGATTATCAGGCACAGAGCGGCGGCAATCAATTGCAGTCATTCACTGTGAGTCAATGCTTGCCCCAACAACAGCAGTGGTAGCAGGCAGCATTGCCGGCAACATTGCCACCAGCAGCTGTTGTGACCGAAACTGTTGTCGTCGTCGGCCCAGCTGCTGCTGCTGCTGCTTCTGTTGCTTCAACGGCGAATCGAGGGCGAATTTCTGCCAAATAATTCTGTGCGTGACGAGGACGATTGCCTGGAGGGGAGTGTGATTGCCCAATAATGATGATGATGATGAGTGCTTACAGTTTAACGGAGTTGAGTTTGTTGTTTGTTTGTTTGCAGACAAGTCAGGTCACGAGGGCTGCTGTTGCTGCTGTCGACAGGGACAGACAGGCAGGCTGTTGAGGAGAAGGTCAAGGACAGTTTGGGCCGCCCAGCGTTTTTTGTTTACTTTTTTGCGTCACTAGCTTGAGTGCGGCCATGGGGGCCGTTGCTGGATCGACCGCCACTCTTTCTCTGTTGTATGTAGCTAACTCATCATCGCAATCTTAATTCAGTGATCGGCGATGTTTAACGCTGATGATGGAAGAACTCGCATCACAAAGAAGGACTCGACGTCCGATGCCGAGTGCGTCTACTGTTCTGATGGCCGATCACTGGAAGAGCTGGTCGCCCTGACGGAGCCAAGTGTGCAGCTGCTGCACGGAATGCTGCCGGTGACGGCAGAGGATGAGTTGCAGTTTGCGCTGCACCAGTTCATCGTCCACCACGGGCATCAGAATGGCAGTTTCTGTCCACTGGAGGAGGCCGCCATCGAAGAGGGCCAGGAGGTGTTTGTCTGCGGACTGCTGAGGGCAGTCATTGAGGATGGTGAAGAAAGCGAAGACAAAAATGAAGAAAATGGCGTCCCCGTGAAGATGATAGGTACTCTGCAGTGATTGCTGCGATATTTATAAAAAAGAACATTTCAGTTACAGTATCTTCCCCATTTTCCTAGGTCCAATCAGCGAGTGGTGGTTCTCCGGCTTTGACGGCGGCACCGTCCTGGTGCTGGGCTTGGACAGCCACTACGCCAGCTACCACCTGCGGCAGGCACACCCCAGCTATGAGCACCACTTTGCGCCACTCCGCCAGAAGATGTACATGACTAAGCACGTCATCGAGTGCATCGCCGCCAATCCGTACTGCAACCTCGAGGAGGTCCTTGTTTCGACAGCTGAGCACCAATCGAACTTTGACACTGAGGCCTTCCTTGGTTCGCTGCACTTCATCACACGACAGATCAGGGACTACGATCTGCACGGCGATCCGGATGAGCTTCGCATCTCGGAGACGCCTGTCTTCAAGTCGATGCTGCAGTTGGCCAGCGCAGCAGCAGTGGTGGGCAGCAGTGGTTCAAAAACAGACAATAACAGACAGAAGAGGAGCACTCTTCAACGGAAACGAAAGTTTCTCCACCACTTCAACACTCCAGTTTCTGAAGAGATATTCAATGCAGTCTTTAGTGATATTTTGGTAAATTCAAGAAAAAGCAAGAAGAGGAGTACTTTTACTCAGCTGTCAGCCTCATCATCGGTATGAATTGAAAGAGACATTCAACAAGTTATCTTACCTCAAATGTATTCTTTTTTAGCAGCTCAGCAAGGGAGATTTTGTTCAATTCCAAACAGCAGATGGCAAAAACACTTCAATTCAATTTGGCAGAATTATCAGCATGGATGATGGCCAAGTGCACATTAACGTTTTCAGGTATTTGACAATGTTTCTTTAGTCCTTTTGGTTATACTAATGACATTTTTTAGTCTAGGAACTGAGACGCTGCTAGGCGAAGCTTCACCGCAACAAATTCTCTTTGCCACCAAGGAGTGTTTGTACCTTCAGGAGAACTCTAAAATGGTGGGCATTTACGTTCAAATTGGGCAGAGAGATTTATCAAACGCCATTCCACAAGGACAATTTTCCTGTTCTCAGCTTTTTGACGCAGAGTTGTGCTCATTTAAAGATTTACCCGCTGAGTACTTAAACTCAACTGAGCCATTCTGTTTAGGATGTCATCAAAAGGAGATGCAGTTGGCGACAGACAAAGAGATACTGCACAAGGGAATGTCAATTCGAGCCGGTGACTGCGTTGCCTTTGAAGCACCGCTCGATTTACCACTTTACGACTACTTTACCCAGCCAGTGAACTCTGAACCGTCTACAAACGCCGAACTGTATCCAGAAAAGTACCGAAAAGCATTCACTAAAGACAATCTGCGAGACTGCTACCACTCCAAAGACCTCTCGCAAGTGCTTCAAATTGGTTACATTCGCAAAATGGAAGCTACTCAACTGCAAGTGAACGTCTTTTATCGCCCCCAAAATGTGCATCAAGATTACCGGCAGTTCTTACAGTGCGACATGAACCTGCTCTTTTGGACAGATTCAGTCGCCAGAATCGACGTGTCAACAGTGCGCCAAAAGTGCCAAGTAATCTACTCACTTACCTGTCCTCCGGTTGAAACGCTCTACTTTAGACAGTTCTACAATCACGAGCACCAGCAGCTTTATGAGCCATCAGACGAACTGAAACAGAGTTTTGCACAAAAACAGCAACAACAGGCAACGCTCAGCAAATCACTGCGCATCTTTGACGTCTTCTCCGGCTGCGGCGGCCTCTCCCACGGCTTTAAACCGCTGGCCAGCAAACTGTTTGCTCTGGAAAACGACCCTCACGCTGCCCGGTCTTTCCAGACAAACTTCCCCGAGGCGATCGTCTTTAACACCGACTCAAACGTCTTTCTGGAGCAGCTGACGAAGACGGCAAAATCTTCCGACCACTTCATCGCCACCCACTTGCCCAGAGAGGTGGACCTGCTCATCGGTGGGCCGCCGTGCCAGGGTTTCTCTGAGATGAACCATTTCTCCACCGGGGAACGGTCGCTGATCACCAGCTCCCTGTTGGCCACCTATCTCAACTACGTGGAGCACTACCGACCGCGGTGGCTGCTGCTGGAGAATGTGCCCAGTCTGACGACGTACGGCGGTCCCAGTTCACTGCTGCTGAAGGTGCTGACCGCTTTTCTCCTCCGCCTCGGCTACCAACTTCGAGTGGCCGTTCTTCAGGCGGGCGCATTTGGGCTGCCGCAGAATCGGCGCCGCCTTTTCATCATTAGCGCCGCCGCTGGCCAACCGCTGCCGGCGCTGCCACTGCCCACTCACGCCTTTTCACACAAACATCTCGACACCTCATTTAAGGTGGGCGGAAGAAGGTACGATCCGTACAGAGACAAGGGACGAGCGGGACTCTGTCGAATGGTCACCGTAGAAGATGCGATTGCTGACTTGGAGGTGCTGGCCGAGGAGGACTACTTTGAGGAGAGGAGCAGGAGATATCGAGGTGATGCTGCTGGCTCTCTGCTGCTGCACTACCAACGGATGATGCGCCTGCCAACAGGAAGAACTTCCGTGGAGGACCACTTGTGTAAGGAGCTGAGCCGGCTGAATCGAGAGCGCATTCGGCGCATTCCGCCAGTGCCTGGCGCAGACTGGCGTGACCTGCCTAACCTTCAGTAACTTGCGCTCTATTTTGAAGCAAATACCTTTCATCGCTTATATTTTTCTAATCTTAGGCTCACCCTCGAAGACGGCACAGTCATTCCCAAGCTAAACTACCGTCCTGGAGGGCGGAGTGTGTGCAGCTGTGGTGATAAACCCAAATCATCCTCTTTGTCAACTGTGGTGCTTCACACTCGCCAGGAGCGGACGCTCATTCCCTGGTGTCTGGTGCACACTGCCGATCGCCGTCACCACTGGCCCGGTCTGTATGGGCGGCTCGCCTGGCGCGGCTTCTGCCCCACCATCGTCACCAATCCGGATCCGATTTCAGTGCAGGGCCGGGTGCTTCACCCGCAGCAGCATCGGGTGCTGTCAGTGCGCGAGAGTGCTCGCTCGCAGTCCTTTCCCGACGACTTTCGCTTCTGTGGACCGGTGGAGCACCGCTACCGGCAGATCGGTAACGCCGTGCCGCCCCTTCTCTCCGCCGCGCTGGCCAAAGAGTTTGCCAAGTGTTTACGCTGAAACGCTTAGGTTGCTCAACTTAAAGTTGACAATAAAACTTTTTTTTTCAAAAAACCCTCGTGGTTTTAAACATTTCCCGCCAACTTTTTTGGCTGCCGAGTGGAAACTTTCCGGGAAAGGTGCGCAAAGTCAAAACAACAAAAAGCACTGCAACAGAAAAAGCAGTCCACGAGTCTTCACATCTTCTGCATCTTCGCATCAACAACGCCTGGATCGCTTCTTCGGCCCCAGGATGCGCCCACTCCTCAACATCGGTCGAACGGTTGGCCGGAGCATCAGTACGCCGCAACACCAGCTGACCCAGGTGGCCAAGCGAAACTCCGGTGGATAGTAAGTGTTTCAAGTGTGCTGATTGAACTGAGTTGATACTAACTCTTCTTTTTGTTGACTTGGCAGCGTTGGATACCGAGAGCTGAACTACGATCCCAACCGTAAGCTGGTGAAGCACATTTTCGAAGTAGCCGGCGGCATCATGTACTGGTGGATTGGGTGGAACCTGATGACTGACTGGCGTCATCTTATCGGTATGTGTGATTCAGTGTCTTGTTTACCACCACCTCTGCACACACAGAGATTGGTCTACAACTCTACTCTTCCCCTCACAGGTGAATTTATCTGGCCTCAACGCTCTGAATGGAAAAACGAAGAACTGGGAGTTCCTGAAGATTAAAACGGAGTCATTTTTGTCAGTTTATTTGTTGGTGATAGCGTTTCGCCTCTTAGATTATAATAATAATTATTATTAAAAGGAAAAATGGAGTAAACATCGTGCTGAGTTAATACTCTCTGATGGAATTCTTCTTGATTATTTGCTCTTCTTCTGCTCGGCTTCATTCTGCTGCTGGGCCGGCTCCTCCTCCTCCTCGGTGGAGTGCTCCTCGTACTTGAACAGCGTCATGAAGTCTCCCTTGAAGAGCGACACGGTAAAGGGGAAGATGATGCAGCAGGGGACCAGGTAGAGGAGGGCAGGCTGTGCGTGCTTGAAGTAGACCATCACCAGCATGGTGATCAGCAGGCCGACGATGTAGGCGATAAAGCTAGTGTAGAAGTAGACGTTCTTGCCGCGGTTCAGGCTGACGTCGAAGCGAAGCAGCAGCGCAATGAAGATGCCAGGAATGACAATGTCGCCCAGGCCGAGCATGGCAAACTGCGACCCGTAGACGCCGTTCTCCAGGAAGTCCTGTGGAAAGATGAGCTTGATTGGTGCGTCAAAGGACTTGGCCACGGTGACCATCACGTCAGTGCCGAACACCCAGAAGATGTCGTACACAAAGAGACCGCACAAGAGAATGCATCCGGTGACGATGTTGTTCAGGTTGATGTACTCAATTGCCTTGATGGCAAACGCAAAGCCAAAGAGGTTGTTGGCAATCCAGTGCTGAGGTAAGATAAAAGAGACACTAATTAAGATCATAACTCAACAGAACAGAATATTCCGAACTTACCTTCTTCAAGATGTACCAGACGCCAATTCCGGCGCAGCCAATGAACGACGCAATGTCTTTTGTGTCAAAGTTGAGATTGATAATCTCGCCTTCGTCTTGTGTGAAAAGCATGTGAAACTTGCTGGATCGTTTTAGCAGATTAGGCGCAAAACGACCCAAAAAATACTCGACCAGATTGCTCAAGACTGACGAGAGAGATATGGTTCCGAGAACAAAGAAGTAAGCGGACAAGAGAAGATTGATGTGCTCTTTGGAGAAAAACTACAGGTAGAAATGCGGGTTAGGTGTGAACTTTATGTGAAACACTGAAAACTCACTTTGAAAAAGACGTAAAGTCCAACTAGGGCGCAGCTAGCGTAGAGCGGGAACAGAGCCGCTTCCTTTCGCGACATGGGCTCCAGCTTTTCGCCAGACTCCTAAAGGGGAAAACACCGGAAAGAAGTGTAAGTACTTTGGGGCTTACGTTATCCGAAACACCAATACCTGAGAGCGTACCTTTTGTTCCTTCTGAAAGCCGATGGATCGGAAGGAGCCATAGAAGATGGGGATGAGCGCCATCACCACCAGCGAGCCATAGGCGACGAACATGCCTTCCGGTGTTGACTTGAACTTGGCCGTTCCATTGGTGGCCGCCTGGTTGACGGCCTCGGCCAGGGTGGCGTTGATCTGATCCACGACCTCACTACCTGAAGACATGGTCGGCGAGTTTGGTGGATGCGAATATGTGGAAGAAAGAGTAATGTCAAAAATATTACACGTCGATTCTCTGCTCTCTCTCTGCTTCGGCTTCGTCTTCGCTTGTGGTTGTGTGCTGGCAGCGAGTGGTCAGCGGAGGTGACGTGCCGCCCATCCCCCTAGTACAGTCACCGCTTCTGGCTCTTTGTTTTCTCTGCATTTCTCGCTCTCGTGGGAAAACACAGCTGTCAGGGCGGCGCAGCCCACAGCGCCCTCGCATGCCGCGCTGAAATGCAGTAACCCAAAGTAGAACAGAGCATTAGCGAAGCGGAATCCGGTCCCCAAAATGGCAGAGTCAGAGTAGGCGAAAGGACGGAGTTTCGCCTCGCTCTTCTTCCACCTTTGAACTTGCATCCGATTTTGTTTGTTTGTTTGATTTGATAAACGGGAGTTCTTTTTTTGAAGTTCTCTTGAAGATCGACACCGATGGCCGCCACAATGAATTTGCAGGCAATTCAAAAGAGCCTTCTTCAGCCAAATTCAAGTTACATTGTCAAGAATGAATGCCTCTCAAACTTGTCAAAGCTGTTTCGCGACATAAACGTACTTCAGAATCCAGCGGCACAATCAGACTTGAGAACGTCGGTAAAACTGCTTCGTGATTTCAGCCACTACCATGATCCGAGAGTACGATCTGCGGCACTTACTTCGTTAGTAAGTACTTGGTTTTTAAACTGAAGAATTTGAGTCATTCTAACCAATGTTTTTTCAGCTCAATTTGTACGAAAGCGGCATCGAGCTCGACATCAGTCTTTATGGAGAGTTCTGTGATCTCCTCAATGATGAGTACGAGAGCGCAAGAATTACCGCCATGAAATTGATTCAGCTACTAAGCATGAAGTACTCAGATTGGTAAGAATGGCAAATTTTATTGACTTGCAGTTCTTCAATTGATTTTTTCAGTTTGGTCTACGCCGAAGGAGAGCAGATTCGCATTGCCGATGATGGCTTTGCCAAGATATGCTCCATGATGAGTGATCCTTCAATTACGGTTCGCGTTGAAGCTGCCACCCTCTTGGGGCGATTCACCAACATTAGTCCAAACTTTCTCCACCAAACGCTGGACAAAAAGCTAATGTCCAACCTAAGGAAGAAGAAATCAGCCCATCAAAGACACCGAGAAACGCTGGAATCAGGCGAATGGAGCAGCGGTCGCAAGTGGACACAGGACGCACCACAAGGGGAGATATACCCGGAGACGATCAACTTGATCAACATTGGCGCTTGTGGAGCATTCATTCACGGCCTGGAGGACGAGTTCTATGATGTCCGCATGGCTTCTCTCGAGTCACTGTGCACCTTGGCGCAGGCGTTTCCCAGCTTCGCCCACCAGGCGCTGGACTTTCTCGTAGACATGTTCAACGATGAGATCCAGGAGATTCGCCTAAAGGCAATTCAGTGCTTGACCAAGATCAGCCGAAGCAATATCATTCTGCGAGAGGATCAAATTGACATAGTCCTCGCCGTTCTGGAGGACTTCTCCATTGACATTCGCGAGGCCCTCCATCAGATGATCTCCAACTGCAGGCTCTCCTCAAAGCGAGCCCTTAAATCGACGATAAACAACCTGCTGGAGAACCTCAAGCGATACCCAGGTGACAAGGAGTCCATTTGGAAGTGCTTCCAAAAGCTGGGCCAGAACAACGTCCACCTTAGCCTGTCACTGGTGCCTGAACTGCTCACCATTCATCCCTTTCTCAAGTTGACTGAAACACCGCTGGACAACGCCGAGTACGTGGCCATTCTCATCCTGGTGTTCAACGCAGCGAAAGACTGTCCCACGATGATTGAGCTGCTAGAGAAGCCCACCCAGCGGCACTACATCTACCTGAAGGACGCCTATCCGCATCTGGTGCCGAAGCTGGTGCACCTCTTCCACAATGAAGTCAGCCTCGATCTGAACACCAACCTGGCAAACTGTGACGCCTTTTTCCTGAAAATCTTTGAGCGCCTCCGCAACCTCGTCTCCCTCGATAGGTGCTCCATTCAGGTGCAAATGTCAGTGCTGAACAATGCCATCAGCGACCTGCAGAAGCTGGCACACCTCCATTCCTTTCTCTCGCCCTCCTGCAAGTTCTTCTCCACCTATCTGCAGTGTCAGATTTCCCTGCGGCGAATCGTCTCTAGCAGCAACTGGATCAACACTTTCCTTCTGGCGCCGTCACAGTCGAGCATCTTTCGGTCGTCGCTTCAACAGGTGAGAACGATTTGTCCCCACACCTAGCCAAACCTTTCTTTACACTCTTCTTTTTCCCAGCTCCTCAGCTCCACCTTCACCATGATCAACTGCTACCACGGGCTGCACCCTCGTCTGGTCATCTGCATTCAGCAGACGCGCGTCAAGGCGATGGCCCTTCAGCTGATTGCCATCATCCACGGCTCGAACGTGTCGGCGCTGGGCCTCTGTGACGCCTTCCTCTCGGAGATGGCCGACCTGAAGAAGCTGCTGACGAGGCACGACGTGAAGCCCGACGAGATCATCCAGCTAATGTCGGACACCATTTCGGCGATGAACCAGCCTCGGCCGGGCTCTGTCGCCCGCGCCCTCCAGCCCATCTTCATCTCCTCGCCCATCTCGAAGATCTGCGACCTGGCGAACATTCTCAATGAGAGCGCCTTCGCCAACTACAAGGACATCAGACTGACCAGCGCCACCATCCACGAGCCAAAGGACAAGTCTGACGTGACGGTGAAGTTCACCGCCGGCCTGGTGCTTGCCCTGCCCTTCACCGCCGTCGTCGAGAACGTGTCCGACATTCGGAACATTCGCATCAAAATTCAGTACCCTGACCAGCAGACGCAGCTCATTCAGCCGAAGCTGAACGAGTTTCGCCTCCGAGGCGGCGGCGAGGAGGAGGAGGACGAGAGGAGGAGGAAGGAGGGCACCTCCAAAACGGTGAGTGACTACCGCCTGGCGACCAAGATTTGCATCTCCTCTTCGGGCGTCTGGTCAGAGCCATCGTACATTGAGGTGAGCCTGTTGCTCGACTTTCGCGACTCCTCCTCGACCGCTCTCTCCACCAATCAAATCTACGGCTCCTTCCTCAGCAAGAGCAGCGGCATTCGGAGCACCAAGTCAGAGGACAACCTGGTGATTGACATCTGCAAGCCCACTCGGCTGATGATCTGCCCGACAAGGCCCAAAAAGTTGGTCTTATAACACACTGTGTGTAGTACCTCCACCATCACCAATCAACCACCGTTTTCAATCAACCTTATACCATACAGCCATAAAATTTCGCTACATCATTTTTATTTCAATTCAAATTCAATACTCAGAGAGTTGGTAATTCAAAGGCACTGGTGAGCGGCATCAGTCGGCGGCATCGTCAAACTGCCCATCCACGACGTCCATGTCTTCCTCCTCTTCTGCTGGCTCAGCGCCGCCATTCAGGTCATCTTCGGGAGCCAAAAATCCNTCAAATTCAATACTCAGAGAGTTAGTGATTCAGGGGCACTGGTGAGCGGCATCAGTCTGCGGCGTCGTCAAACTGCCCATCCACGACGTCCATGTCCTCTTCCTCCTCTTCTGCTGGCTCAGCGCCGCCATTCAGGTCGTCTTCGGGAGGCAAAAATCTNGGCATCAGTCGGCGGCATCGTCAAACTGCCCATCCACGACGTCCATGTCTTCCTCCTCTTCTGCTGGCTCAGCGCCGCCATTCAGGTCATCTTCGGGAGCCAAAAATCCCTGGAAGCCATTGCCATCACCATCTTCCTCATCTTCAGAGACGCTGTCCTGCGGATCGGGATGCAGCAGCTGACAGTGGCTCAGCGCCCGGTACATCGCCTCCAGTTGGGAGGTATCGCCGGGGACAAAGCGCAGCTCATTGGCCATTGAGCAGTCATCATCATCTGTAATAGAAGAGAAGAAGAATGGAGATTATTGTAGAGCATTGAATGTGAAATGGTGTGTGCGTGAGTGCAGTGCCTAGAAAGTGTGCACGCTCACATGCACAACACACTCGAACAACAACAAACCCGCCCATGGAAAGAGATTTGGGAGTCATTTTCATTCAGTCAGTCATGCAAGGTGAGCGCAGCGGGTCAGCAGCCAATCATACGGGAGGTTAAAGTGCCAAAATGGTTTGCCAAAAAGTGGTTTGTGCGGCGATGCAAAAGGTAGAAAAATTTTATTCCTTTTTCGTATAAATAACATAAAACAAAACAGCGTATGTATAGAGTCGGCTAACATGTAGAAGAAGAAGAAGAAGCAGGCGTCAAAGTGGATGTCAATTGGAAAATGCGCGTCAGTGGGTGTGTGTGTGTGAGTGAGTGAGTGTCAGTGTATGGGTTACCCTTTATTAACAAGATTGCAACAAGTTTATTTCGTCTGAAGGATTTGTCACCGGGGGGTAAAAAGACAAGAGGAAGAATTCACAGAAAGAGAGAGAAAAGTAAAATAAGTGGGGCAGAAATGAATAGAGAACAGAAAAAAGTTGTTAGATGGGGGCTGAAAAATTGAAATAGAAATGATGGTTGCACTAGGTTTGTCGGTAAAATAGTATGTTACAAAAAGGCAAGTGAGAGAGAAAGAGATGAAAATGACTTGAACTGAAACATCTTAACAAAAAAAAGAAAACAAAATCCGAGTAATCTTCAACAGCTACGTAGACTTATGGGGGACAAGAATAGAACAAAACAAACAACAAAAGAAGAAGAAGAAAAAGAAGAAGGTGAAGAAGGTGTGTGTGTGTGTGGTGAAAGCTATGCTTTAGAAGGCGATTCGTGGTCAGAAGAAGAAGACTTTGACCGAGTGGCTCGGTCAGGTGTGGGGGCGGCGGCGGCAGAAGGGTTCACCGCCGAAGCGAACTGATTCGTAAACTCGTTTGCGTCCATCTTCAGAATGTAAGGAATTATACTATCAATTTGCACGTTGCCGATGAGTCCCGAGAAGAACAGATCTTCCGTCAGGCTGGGAAGCAGTGAGCGGAGAGGTATGAGGCGAAGCAGAAGCCTCGAGTACCGGTCAATGGAGGCAGAGGCAGAGGCGGCAGATGAGGAAGATTGAATATCACTTGGCGGAAGGGGAGGAGGAGGAGGAGGAGGCGTAGGAGAGGAGGTGGTGGTGGTGGTGATGGATGTGCTGGCACCAGTAGTGCTGCCACTGCCACCCCCGGTCAAGTACTGCCTCAGCTCGCCGGCGGCCATCTCCTGGAAGCGCTCAATCTGCCGACTGTTCAGCGACCCTCTCGCCGCGCCCACATTCTCCGGACTGAAGAGGACAATCGACTTGAGGTAGGCGTACTCGCGACTGTCCACGCCAAGCTTCTGAAAGGTGTTCACAAAGTCTTGCAGCTGGCAGATGTGCTCGGTCACCTGCTTGATGCGGTGCAGGCTGAAATTCTCCTGCTGGAAGGTCGTCTGCAGGTGGGCGATCACCGCAGAGAGGATGGTGGCCAGGGAGAGGACTTGGCTGGTCTGCGCCAGGCCGAGCACAAAGAGCTGACACCAGCAGCCGCGAATGAGGGCGGTCTGCGCCTCGAGGGGCAGTCGCTGGAAGGCGACGATCGACTGCGCCCAGTGCACCGAGAGGAAGAGCAGTCGGGAGGCGAACTCGCAGATGTACTGCAGCGTCATGAAGGAGCTCGACTGGGCGGGCGGCGTCCAGTTGAAGACAAAGTGCGTCTCGTTGAGCATCGGTCCCTCCAGCTCAATGAGCGTGTCCTGCTCGCCCGCCTGTGCGCTGATCATGGCGTCCATGGCGGCGCCGTAGAGGAGGGACGCCTGCTCGGAGGGCATCTTCGCGCCGGAGACTAGCTTCGCCATCATGTCAAAGGCCGCCTTCGAGATGAACAGTGACTGGGGGTGGCCAGGACCGCCACCAGAGCGATCGAGGTCGGCGGCTGCCGCAGAAGAGGATGAGGCACCGGTTATATTTTCCCTGAGGAGGAGTTCCCTGGCATTCTTGTCTTCCGCCGCCGCCGACTCCATCGCCGCCTCTTCCGCCAGGGCAAGCGAGGCGGCCGAGGATGAGGCACTGTGGTGATGATGGTGGTGAAGGAGTGGGTGTTGGTGCTGCAGGTGATGGCCGCCCATCTTCCAGCCTTTACTGCTTGAGGCTGCCGCTGCCGCCGCTTCCGCCGAGGTGATCACATCAGCTGCCGTCGAGCTGCTGAGCGTCGAGGGGACGGTGACCTGCTTGAAGGCCATCAAATTGGAGACCACGTTGGCCAGCGTGTTCAGGTCGCCGTTGTTTTTGCCGTGACCGCTGGCAGCGCCGGAGTTGGCCGTCGCCTCGATGATCGACATTGCCGTCTGGTTGTCGAAGATGCTGGCAATGTCAGGCACTGAACCACGAGGAAGGCCACCGCCGGCTGAACTGCTGCGAGAGGTGGGCGAGTGTGAGCTGGTGGTGCTGCCGGCGGTCCCGCTGGGTCCGCCACTACCCCGAACTGACTGCAACATCGAACCACCACTTCCAGCAGCACTCCCTCCTGTCGTCTCCTGTTTGCAGGACACTGCAAAGGCACTGCTGGTCGTCGCCACCGATTGCTGCTGCTGCTGCTGCTGTTGATTGGCCGCGGCCGCCGCTGCCGCCGACTCGAGCGCCAGCGGCTTCCGCTCCGGCTGACAGTGGTCCGCCCGCATGCCCATCTGAACGCACTTCTGCAGGCGGCAGTACTGACATCGGTTGCGGTGGTGCTTGGTCACCTCGCACTCCTGGTTCGCCCTGCAGACGTAGTTGAGCTGCTTGCGGACGCTGCGCTTGAAGAAGCCCTTGCAGCCCTCGCAGGAGATCGCCCCGTAGTGCCGGCCGCTGGCCTTGTCGCCGCACACCACGCAGTACTCGAGGGTCTTCTTGTCCAGCAGTTGACTGCTGCTGGAGCCACCGCCCCCGCCACCACCGCCGCCTCCGCTGCCACCACTGCCTCCGCTTCCGCCACCGCCACCACCGCCGCCTCCCTGCTGACTGTGACTGAGGTTGAGGCTGCTGGTGAAGCTGAGGCGTGAGTTGGAGCCGTGCGGCGGCGGCGGCGACCCGTCGTGGTCGCCCTCCTCCGGACTGCGACTCATCGGGTACTCGGAGCCCGAGTTGTAAGGCGAGCCGGGGTAATCGACGCCCATGCCGACGACGGCGCTGGGCGAGGTAGGAACACTGATAAACTCGGTATCCGGGTCGCCGACGCTGTTCTCCGCACCGCTGGAGGGACTCTCCGGCGGCTCGCACTTGATAGTGGTCGTCTTGTAGGTGGTGCTGGTGATGCTGCTGGCGGTGCTGGCGCTGCTATCGGGACGGCTGTCCATCAGGTGCTTGTTTACCATCTCCGCGTCCTTCATAAACTGGGATGCCATAATCACAGGTACATTTGCAAAGAGTGTTGATGGGGGCGTGTGTGTGTGCTTAGGTGTGTGGTGTGTTGACTAAAGAAGGAGTAGTAGTAGTAGTAACCGGTTTCGTTGCCCGAGTTGGGTGTGCGAATGAATTGCGTTCTTCACATGAAGTGTTGCATGAATAACAGTAAACTTAAAAAGGAGGGAAAGCGATAATAAAAACAAACATTCAACAGTAACAAAGGGGGTAGTAGGGTAGTAGTAGAGTAGTAGTAGTAGTAGTAGAAGTAGTAGAGGAAGCTTTGGAGGTGCTAACTTCCGATAAACGATAACGATAACAACAACAACAACAAGGGCTGATGCAACGGTGAATAGATCTCTATAGATCGATAAAACGATAACTTTTTGGTAAAAAGAAGATGACGAAGAAGAAGTAGTAGTTGTAACACAGAAGGCATTTCACGTTGGTGCCGAAGACTGAAGAAGGGGAAGAAGTGGTAGTAGACGTAGTAGAACTGACATGCTGAACAGGGTGTCTCTGCCTGTCTGTGTGATTGATTGATAAGAGAAATGGCTAGGGTGTGTCGTCGAGAGTAGGACGAGAGAGAGAGAAGTCACTGANACAGAAGGCATTTCACGTTGGTGCCGAAGACTGAAGAAGGGGAAGAAGTGGTAGTAGACGTAGTAGAACTGACATGCTGAACAGGGTGTCTCTGCCTGTCTGTGTGATTGATTGATAACAAAAATGGCTAGGGTGTGTCGTCGAGAGTAGGACGAGAGAGAGAGAGAGAGAAGTCACTGACGGTACGGAAGTACTGAGAGAGAGGAGATGTCAAAGGTGAAGAGGAGATCGTGCGAGCGAATGGCACCATACGAAATGGAAGGAAATAGAAAGAAAAACAAACAATCAGTCTGGTGTCGCTGAGGCGTGTGTCGTGTGTGTGTAAAGTGTATGTGTGTGTGTGCTTGGAGCAAATGTCGCGTCAGTGGTCGTGTGGCACACTCTGCGGCGAGGAAACTGTCTGACTACTCTGCTCTGTTCTGTTCTGGTATAGTGAGATATCTGGTGCGCTCAACGGTCTAATGGTTAGCCTGCGAGCACTGGTGTCTCTGCCTCTGTCACTGTCTCTGTGTCGACGATGTGAAAGTGAACGCCAAACCCAATGTGAACTGCTACCTTTACGAGTGCTCAGGCTACGACTGCTGCTGCTTTGGCTTATTGCTACTTTTACCTTGCGAGCGAGTTATGAAAAAGGTAGCGTGTACTGTACTGCTGTATATCATAGTGGCCGTACTGGCTGCACTGGTCACAGCAGCACCAGCCGCAGCAATGCAGTGCTGCTGTACAGTGCAAGACGAAGCAGGACAGGTTGTTGTGAAAACATGCAAACCAGGAACAGCGATAAAACAGACACTCACCAGTAGCTTCCGAGTTGTCGGAATTGTCCTGATCAGCAGGCGAGTCCTGATGCTGCTGCTGCTGCTGCTGGTCGTCCTTCTCAAACATCAGGTAAAGGCATTCGGAATGGAAGTTGCTCAGATCTCGGCTGATGGCGTGAAGTGATATCTGCGGGTACGCTAACGAAAAGCCCAGACCGTTCTCCGTGTGAAAGGTGAATCTGTGCGTTGTGGTGGTGGCAGTGTTCGTGGTGGTGGTGGTGGTGATGATGAATGGGCGATGATTCAGACGATGGTGATCGAGAGGATGGTGATGAAGAAGAGCAGTAGGAGGAGGAGGAGGCAACAGAGGATGAGGAACAGTGAGGCGACCGAGTAGTGGTTGGGTTGATCGTTGATAGTGTCGTTGGTGGTGGTGGTGTCGTTGATGTTGATGTTGATGATGGTGGCGGTGACGACAGTGGTGCGAGGTGAGGCGGTCGGGTGAAGAGAGGGGGGAAAGAAGAAGAAAAAATTGTTTTAGACATAACAGATTGGCATTTTTGCTCGGTGCGCCGCAATTGCCTCTTTCTGCAGTGGCCAACGGCAACTGCTGCTACGGCTGCCGTTGCTGCTGCAGCTGATAGGTAGTGGTAAGGCAAAGGGCGCGATGCAGGCGTCCAGGCAAGGTTATAGTTTAATTACGAGAGACTCGGCGTAACGAGAGAACGAGAAGAGAGAGAGAAAGAGGTCAGACGACAGAGGCAAAGGGCATGCGCGTCTGTACATGCTTCTCTCGCTGTGCCCTTTTGTTCCGCCGTCGTCGATGTCGAAGAGCGGCCAGTGCGAGTGTGAGGCAACGGTGATCTTCGACATCAGGGACACAGGGCGCCACAAGAAGTGGTGGTGGTGGCCGTTGCTGTAAGGCAAAGGCGGCAGCAGCCAGTCCAGATCACCGTTGTTGTATGCATGCACCTCTGTGCACCTGTGTACTGTACTGTACTGTGCTGTTGTGTTGTGTAGAGCAAGGAAAGAGAGAAGGAGAAGGAGGAGGAGGAAAGAGGCGCCGAACATGGGCGCGATTGGACTTACTTGGTGCTGCTGATGACCAGTTCGCCTACTCCGAGCTGAGCGTCCTCACCAGTTGGTCGTCGCAGGTAAACAGTGGTGTTGGCGGTGCGATGTACCACGGATTCAGGAGCGGGCAATTCGTCGAGTGGCGACAGCACAAGCATTTTATCGGTGGTCCGAGTACTGGCACTCGTTGGTCGTGGCACGCTGCTGGATCAGAATGCCCTCGCTCTCTCTTCTTCTTGGATGGTCTCTGCTGGGTCACGCCGACAAGGTTAGAGTGCACAGATGAGGCGAAGAAGAAGAAGAACAAGTCACGAGTCCATGGACACGGGAGAAAGAGGAGAGAGAGGAGAAGGCCTCGACTGATGCCAAAAACCAACGTGCTGTTAGCGCGCAGAGAAGCGCCGCCGCATGCCTGCCTGTAAAGAAACTGCTGCTGCTGCTGTGTTTGCCCCGCCAATAGCTGCTGCTAGAGGGAGCGTTTTCGAAGCTGCAGGGAACACTTCCACTCAGAAGGGATTGGCTTCGCCTTATCACCAGCTTCAATGGGCTTCTTCCGGTGTCCTTATCTCCGCAACCACGCACTGGATCGAGGTGGGGTGAAAAGGCAAAATTCTGCTCAACGGCTGTTCTAAGCACTTTTATCTGGTTATTGTTAGAAAGTCAAACTTTTGCTTGTGAAATGGGGCTTTGTTTACCATCAACACGTAAGTGTTACGTAACCAGGTAAATTCTAAGAAATGAAGCCATGTTGAAAAAAATGAACTCACTAAAAGTTCAGATCAACTTTTTATCTAGATAACTCCTTTTTACAGCACCGCAATCAGATGAAAGGCTGCCGAGATAAGGTCGCCTGAAGAAGCCCATCCAAACCCATAGAAGCCATAGCGTCGCTGCAACCGCTTCACGTGCTCCCTGCCTGACGGCGGATTGCAGCGGTGGGCGCCTTACGTAGGAGCGGCCTGCAGCCTCGGCGATTGCTCGCGACCTCGACTCTCGACCACTTGGGGAGGAGCTGCAGTGGCAGCTATCGCATGACGCCAATGACGCCTTTGCCCTTTCCATAAAACTTTTCTTCTTGCGTTCGCACCACCACCACCATCACCAGCAGCTTGCCTTCGCCACTGCTGCTGCAGTTGCAGTTGCAGTTGCCTCGTACAGCCTCGGCACTCTGGCGCCGTTACCATGCGATCCCCTCTGCTCTGCTCTGATCTGCTTCACGCAACCTTTGCTCCGTTTCGTTGAGCTGCCGGCCACCATGTGGAGCACATGGCATGCCATTTCAGACAGTGGTCAGAGAGAGAGAACGGATCAGAAACAGAAGCGGCCACCACTACCAGAAGTGGAACTCTGGTCAGCTCCGGTGTTCCAGCAGTCAAAACAACAACGGAGTAGTGAACAGAGAATGAGTGGACTGGCGCCCGCGGCTGCCGCCTGATTGCGCCGTTTGTTTACGTTTTTGCTTGAGCTTGCGCCGCCGACGGCGACGATCATCACACGGCGACAGACACAGACACTCTTACTCTTACTTACTCAGTCACTCACCAACGCCGTAGTACACCTAGCCACACTCAATCACAGAGTCATACTACTCAAACTACTCACCGTCGTACACTACGAAACACAGACTCTCAGCTGAGAGCTGCTGCTGCTGCTCTGGCACACGTTATCCAACGCTGCTGCTGCTGCTGCTGCTGCTTCACAGTTCGAAATATCACCTCGATGGCCAGCTTGTCAGTGTTGCTGCTCCTGCTGCCGCCGCCACCACCACCGTACAACTGCAGGATTGTTTGCCACGACCACCGCCGCCATCACCACCTCCATCACCATCATCCTCTGAAGCAGCATCAACAGCTGTAGCACCTGACCACCATCTGATCCACCGCCATTGGCAGCGCGGCCACCGTCGCTTCTGCCGTCGCAGCTCCCTCGAAGCTGCTTCATCGGCCTTGCGCAATGTACTCCTTCCACTTGCGCAGTCGAACCGTCCTCTATCTCCTCGCGGCTGCCTTCTTAGTCTACCTGTGGAGTTACTTCAGCAGTCTCAGTGACATTAGCCTGCTCAGTCAGCGCCGCTCTCCACATGTCAACTTTAAGCATCTTCTCATCGGTCAGTGGCGGCAAAAGGAAGAGAAAGAGGAGCAGAGAGAGCTCTTTTTTCTGTTTTTCTGCTTTGAATTCTAATGATTTGTTTTTGTTTGTTTGCCTCTTTCAGCCTCCATCATCGCCGCTCAGAAGGGAGGCCTGGAAGTGCGCCAGGCGCGAAGCTCAAAGTTGGCCGTCAGTGTCAAGGGCAAGACGAAGGAAGGAGTGCTCGATGTCCTCACTACAGGTAATGCTTCTGTTCTGCTTCGGCTGCTGCTGCAGTTGTTGTTGTTGATGCTCTGATGGTGATGATGATCAGCAGACTAATCTGTAAACACACACTCACTGCACGATAGGCGATCGGAATTCGAACCATGTGATGGTGAACTCGCTGCTGTACACCTTCCCCGGCATTCGCGTCATCAGCGAGGAGCACATGCCCACGAGCGGCGACGGCGGCGGCGGCATCGACGTGGCGCCCATCAGCGTGAACCGCGCCGTCCTCAACAGCGCCGCCTTCGCCACCATTCCACCCGAAATTGACCTGAACCTCGAGGACCTGGTCGTGTGGATCGACCCGCTGGACGCCACCAAGGAGTACTCGGAGGGCCTGACGCAGTACGTCACGACAATGGTCTGTGTGGTGCAACGTGGCGAGCCGCTGCTCGGCGTCATCCACCAGCCCTTTCTCATGAAGACGTACTGGGCGTCCAAGTTTGGCATCGACAAGAAGCTGCTGGCGCTGCGCTCCACCTTCATGCGCCAGTCTGCTGATGCTGATGCAGACCGGCGGCCACCACGGCTGGTCATCTCGCGCTCGCACAAGGGCGACGTGGAGCGGCTGGTCCACGCTGCGCTGCCTAATGCCACTGTCCTCGAGGCGGCCGGCTCCGGCTTCAAGACGCTGGAGCTGATGAAGGGCCAGGCGGACATTTACCTCCACAAGACGCACATCAAAAAGTGGGACGTCTGCGCGCCGAACGCCATTCTGAAGTACGCCACGGAGGGGACGATGAGCACACTGCGCGGCGGCTCCATCAGCTACGACTTTGAGTCCGATTTCGTCGTCCGGGAGGGCATCTTCGCCACTGCCAAGCCCGGTCTAGTCAGTCTTCGACAGCGGCTGGCAGCTCAGCTGTTCAACAGTCGTCGTCTGGACGACGTCTAAGAGAGAGCGAGCAGGACTCGTCCGGTCTCTCTGTTCAGTGTCGACGACCAGCACTTATTCCCTGGAGTGCGAGAATAAACAATGAGCCGATCAGACAAACACGCTATTTGTTTGTGCCGTACAAATCAGTGTGCGCCTGCTATCTTGGTAGTCCTTCTGTGGTAGTTTGATGCCGGTGTGTGTACGACAAAGTGGGCTGACCAACGTCAGCAGAAACAGTAGCTCCACTGTATGGCCGCCAAAGACGACGACGGCGAGAAGAGAAGCTTGTTCTTTCCATTCTGGTCAGCGCAGACAGAAAAAGAAAGAGAGAGAGAGAGAGAG